TAAATATATTGGCTCAGCAGAAATAAATTTTCGAAAGCTTTTTTTGGGGGGGGGAGTTCTGCTTTTTCCCCCCTCCCCGTCCAAACATTTTTAAAAATCCCTCATTTTGCTGGGAAGTAAAAGGGGGTCGGAATCTCGTCCCCTCCTTCGGATATCTGCGGGTGCCCCTTTGCCCCCAAACCCACGTTTTCTCCTTCCCTGTTTTGACATTTAGGGAAAACAGCTATTTTTCCCTCTCCCGCGGACAAGATGGGGAGGGGTGTGCGGAAAGTCTTACAAGAGAGAAGTGAGGGAGAAAGAGGGAGAGAAGTGAAAAAGTTCGATTTATTGTACAGCATTTGGTTTGGCCGCGACAAAGGAGGCAGAAAGTGGCGTCCGGAAAGCCAGAAACTGGCATGCCTATAAGTGTGGCCCCGAGGTAAGAAAAAGCGATTTTATTCCGGCTGTTTTCTCGGGGGGGGGGGCTGCAGCCGGAAAGGGTCTGCTCCGCTCTAAAGCAACTTTTCCTCATTTTCAGAGAGAAACCGTAGGGTTCCACCACGAGACTCCGCGCCAAGGGAAACCCACTCGCGGGCTGTCGGACAAGGCAAGGGGGGGTGGAGGCTCACCATTGCTGTAGAGGAGCTGCAGCCGGTAATGGATCCCGTTGTTGGTCTTTTCGCTGTTGGCTTCCTGAATTAGGACACACAAATAAGAATGAGGAAGGGGGTGGTGGCGGCGGCGATCACAACAAAAACAGCAACAACCCCAAGGCGATCCCGAGGAGCCCTAGATTCCAGGATGGGGGGGGGAGAGGAGTTGGTTTCTTAGGCCTCCCCACCCATCCCTGCCCGGTTCCTTTCGGTTCCTATTTGGCGGGAAGAACTTCATTCAAGAGTGTCAGGGCACCGGGCTGCAAAGCCCCGAAGGGGGGGGGGGTCCTCCTAAGGCAAGCAAGAGGCGGGGAAGGGACGCGCCTGGAGGTCACGGGTGCGAGGCAAGGGTGGTCGTGGTGGTGTCCTGAAGTTGCCACACTCCCCGCAACCACGGGGGGGAGGGGGGAGCCGCAGAGGAACCCTAACAAACCTCCCCTCGCTGAAGGGAGAACGAGGCAAAAAGTAACCCCGGGCGCGTCCGGAGGGGGTAATTCGTAGGATGGGACGCAGGCGATCGAGGGAGTCAAGCGATGTCGCCCTTGTCATGTGCACAAGGGCCGGCAGGCATAAAAAGGAAGAGCCCCGGAAAGGGATGCCGAGGGCAGGGCTCGGCGCTGCAGACCGGCCGGCCGGAGCCCCTTCCCCAACACGTCACGCCCTTCGCACGTTCCCACTTACTTTCTCCTTCTCCACGAAGCCCACGAAGGCGGTGCGCTCGATCTCCACCGGCTGCCCCTGCCGGTCGTACAGAGCCAGCACGAAGTGGAAGAAGTTGGATTTCCTCAAGTTGGAAGGCGGCTGCTTCTCGAAATGAGCCCGGGCCAGGCCCACCCCGCTGCGGCCAAAGAGTCCGAATTAGTCCGAGAGAGAGAGAGACGGCCATGCCACACACCCCCGACGGGAAAGCCGGCAGAGCCGCGCACGCTGCTTCCCGCCCTTGGGACCCTCCCGACAGACCGACCGCCGAGAGGGGCCTTCGGAGCGAGGCCGGGGCCGGAGGGGATCCCAGCTAGCCGGGTGGCCCTCCGAGAGCGGCCGACGTCCTGGGCCAGCCTCTGCCGAGGGGCCTCCAAGAGGATGAGGATCACGGGCACGCAAGCCAGGTTTGGCGGGGTGGTGATAGTGGGGACCTGCTTCTCCTGCCACGGAACCGATGCCAGTTTCAGGCCAGGAGGGCAGCTCGCTCGCTCTCGCTCTCTCCCTACCTCAGGTCAACAGACCAAGTGGCCCAAAGAAGGAGGGAAGTCGCTCTGCGCCGGAGGAAGGAAAACTTCGGGGATTCACCGAGTATTGTATTATTATTATTATTATGGCGCTCCTGCCTCACTACCAAACCTGATCAACGCCTGGTTCTTTCTAACCCAACAGCAGAAAATATCCAAACTATTGCGATGATCTATTTATTTATTTACTTTTTTAAAAAAAATCTAGTCAAAAACTTATTTCAGTCTTGAAGGGGTTCCTCGATCCCCCCCTTAGTTTCTAATGGCCAATTAAACGATCGTCGTTGTCAGGAGCCGCCAGCTTCCTTTCGGAGCGTTGCTTGCTGAAGTTCCCTTAAACTCTCGGCCCGAGCTGTCAGTCAGGCCGCCGTGCGCCTTATCGGGTCGCCCCAGCCTGAAGAATCAAAGCATCACACTTTCGGGTGATAAACATCCCAGAGCAAGTAGCGCAGAAAGCTTTAAATATTTTTACCGTTTCGGCTGACCCTAGAGAACTTGTCCCTTTCCTGACAGGGCTCCAGGACGGAAGGTGGTGGTGGTGGGGGGGAGGGAAGTAGAGAAGCTGGAGACCCCAGAAGATCTCAACGTTAAAACTGAGAGGTGCAGGTAGATCGGTTCCGGCTACATATTTAAAGGAGTGCCTCAGACGGCAAACCTAACGGCTTTTTCACTGGAAAGTACTGTAAATCCAAGGCACGGACTTACTTGGAAGTAAGTCCCCCTGAAATCAATCGGACTTCACTTCCATAGACAGGAAGGGGCTGGAAGGTCTTTTTAAACAGATGCCCTGGACTCACCTTTGCTAAAGGCGATGCTGAGAAAGAAGGGGAGCGAGAACGATTTGTGCAGGGTGGTTTCAAACACATATCGATCCCACGGTGGGGAAGAGGCTTTATATAAGGAGGAAAGCCAACACAAAACCCAAACAAGCCCGGCCTGACTTCTATAAAAGTTAACTCTCCTGTTGCCACACAGGGTTATTGTTGTTTATTTTAAAAGTGAGGCTTTTAAGAGAAGTGGGGGAAGCTCTGACAGACTTCCTACGGTTGGCGTGTGCAGGTAAGAAAGGGAAACAGGGAGCCACGGCCAGCTGCTAAAATCCACGCGAGGCACAGGTTTCCCTTCTGAAGGAGAGCCGGGAGCACGAGGAGCCTAGACGCCCACATTTCCCCCCTCCTCGGCGGTCATTCTGAAATGCCACCGTGTTTTTTTTGGGGGGGGAGAGGGGGGGAAAGTGAAAGTTGGAGCCGGCGGCATCTCTCTTTGCCCAGTTGGGGGGGGGAAAAAGAGGCGCCCCTGTCCCTCGGAAAGGAGGCAAACGAAACAGAAGGTTTTAAAAGTCAGCCGAGATTCAGAGAAACTGATCAAAGCCGGTTCGAAACCAACGATCCTTTCCAATTCCTCTTTCTCTCATTCTTTTTTTTAAAAGTCGTGCTGGGCTCGCCGTAACGGGAAAGCGCTGCCTATGAGCTGCAGCCCTGAAGCGGGCCGGAGCTCTCCGTGGCGGTGCAGCCGCCGGGAAACGAAAGGAAGGGGAGTGGAAGCGGCGGATGCTGCTGCTGCTGCTGCTGCCGCCAGCCCGCCTGCCCGCCCGCCCTCGGTACGTACCTCTGCGCGGCTGTGTTTGCATCCAGAACGCCGGCTCCCTGCATCCAGGTCCTGACCGCGTTCATCCCCGCGCCCAGGGGCTCTTCCTTCATGCTGCTCCCACTCCTCTGAATGCTTTCCTGAATCCCAAACATGAATTAAAAGCGACCAAAACCCGCTCTTCTTGAAAAAACAAAGTGGGGGCAGCAAAAAAAAAGAAATAAAAAAAGAAAAAAAATTAAAAAGAAAACCTCAAAACAAAAACCGACAACCACGACACAAAACACAACAACAAAGAGTAATGTTGATGACAGAGGAGGAAAAAAAATCGCCGGAGAGTTCTTGCTTTCTTTCTTTTAAAATTCTTTCCTTCTCTCCAGCGGCAGCTGGTATCAAGGCAAATGAAACACAGACACTGAACGCGGAAAGAGAAGAAGCGCGCGCGGGGGGGGGAACGCGGAATCCAACGGAGAACCACAAACAAAAATCACCCCCCCTCAAGGTGGGCGGGTGGGCGGCTTGATGCTCTCGACTGCCGGAGGCGCTCGTTCTCTCCGAGGGTGTGTTGCGGGTGTGACGGGGTGGCCTTTCTCCTTCTGCCTTTCGCCCTTTCTATTTTAAAAAAAATACAAAAAGGAGAATGCTCGCTTCTTGGCCTGCGGGGCTCTCCCGAAGAAGCCGGGGGGGGGGACGAAGTGGCGGTCCCCGCGGCACTGAAGTCCCCCTTCTTTTGGATCGCCGGTTGAAGAAGGCAGTTTAAGAAACAATGGGATCAACTGGGGAGGAGGAGGCGGCTTTGGCGGCGGCGGCGGCGGCGGCGCCCTTGGCTACATCAAGTGTCATTTTCCAGTGACAAGATAGCGGCAAGTTTGCTGTCTCTTTCTCTCTCCCGCGGACGCCTTCCTCGCTCGGGGGGGCTTGCCGGTCTCTCCGCCCGCTTTTCCTCCCAGCCAACGATCGATGCTTCCTTCTCGTCTTTTGCTCTTTTTCTTCTTCTCCTCCCCTTTTTCTTCTTCTTCTTTTCTCTTTTTTGCCCCCTCTTTCTTTCTTTCTTTCTTTCTTTCTTTCTTTCTTTCTCCCTCTCTCTCTTTCTCTCCGGCTTCTCCGCCTCCGCTCTTTCGCCTTTCTTCCCCAGCGCAGGAAGCTGGCTGGCTGGCTTCTTACACACAGAGAGAGAGAGAGAGGGAAGGGGAGAGGAGAGGAAGACACGCGGCGCGCCTCCGCCGGGAAAGGTAAGCACCGACACCCCCTCGGTGGAAGGCGATCCTCTTGGCTCCTTTCCCTCCCCCCCTCCTCGCCTTCCTCCCCCCCCAGTCCAAAGCCGGAGTGATTTGCAGGCTCTCCCAATGGAATCCACTTTGACTAACCTCGCAGCGCAACGCGAGCGCCCCAGCCCCAATGGGCAGGGGGGCGTCACCCTACGGGCCCGGGACCGCCCCCTCTCATTTGCATAGCGTCGCCACTTCCTCGGCCTCGCCACGCTGGCCAATCGCCGGGTAGGAGCGGCGAGGCCGCTGCCGAAAACATTATTTCCATTCTCCTTCCTTTTCCCCCTGCAGTTTTACCTGCTTACCAGCTCCACCACCACCTCCCTCCCCCTCTCTCTCTCTCTCTCTCGGCCAGGCAGGGCCGGAGGAGAAAGTTGAGATTGAGAGCCGCGGGCGAGGCAAGCTCCGCGTGGGGGGAAAAGGAGGGCGCCGCGCGGGGAAGAGATCGCGGTCGGAAAGGCAGGCGATAGGCTTGGCTCCAGCCGGATCGTAAGCCGCGCGCTTGCCATTTGGGAGCAAAACCCTGCGAAAGTTTTGCGTGGTTTTTTTTTTAATCTTAATTTATTTTGGAACGCGGCGTAGCGCTGCGCTCCCTCGATCCGATCGCAGCACACATCGACCCGGGAAGGTTTCCCACGTACATAAGGTAGCCACGATTCGGTGGAAGTTCCGAGTTGTTGAAAAGAGGTCGTAAGAGAAATGAGCCCCTCTTCTCTTCGCGGCCCCGCAACGCCGACGCAATACATCCTCTTTTCGTGCCTCTGCCTCGACACCAGCCTCGAAAAGTTTAGTCGCGAAACGGGGACGATGAGCCTAAATTTGTCCCATACAGTGCCCCGCCCTACAAATAATAATAAATAGTCGTCTGAAGTACAGGCGTTCGTCAGTGACAGGCTCTTCAGTCCGCTGATTTTAAAAGATAATAAACAAGTTATTAAACATTGAATCAATGAAGATGACTTGGTATAAGTGTCACCCACCTAGCCAGCATGTTGTTTTTCTTAAAAGGGGTAACAGGGTTGTTACATCTCATTTCTACAGCCGGTGCTGGTATAGCTTTTCTTCATCATCAAAAGATTAATGTAATTTATTTTTAATTTATAATCCGACGCGGTGGTGAGCCAGACAACCTAACCCAACCCCAGTAGACGCGCCGTGTAGAATAATCATAGCAAGATACTGGTTTCGTATATTTATTAATTTTTTAAAAACAGTGGTTTTCGTAAGTAGCCACTGTGTCTCTTTTTTCTTTCTTGGCCCTGAAGAAATAGAGAGACTTTCTAATCTGACAAGGAAGTATCTTTCCTCATTCTCAAAAAGACTTTAAAATGGTCACCCTCGCTCCCCTCGATCAATGTTTTAAAAGTACCTATTTGGCTCAAAGTGTTCCCCTTTCGGTCTGGGCAAGGTCGGAGGTCTGTTGGTGGAGGCAGAGAGAAAGACAGAAAGAAGGAGAAAGAAGAAGAAGAAGGGAAAAAGAAAGAAAAGGAGATTCCCCTCGTGGAAAGAACTCTTTCCCTCGAATCGATCGATTTCCTTGTTCATATAGCAAGCTTATTGTTTTTCATTATTGTTAGCCGTCGTGCTGGAAACACATGTTCCGATTTGGACGCCACACGTTCAACTGGAAGGCGCAATTGGGGGGTTTAAAAACAAAGAAATGTCGCCCCCCCCAAAGTAATTTCTCCCTATCTTATTCTCTTTCCTCAAAAAGAAGGCGGGAAAAAGAAGACGAGGAAAATTGAAATCAACGCAAGGAAAAAAGGAATATGTAGCTTGCTAAATGTTTTGCTAGCCCACACAACCCGGGATCCATTCTGTCAATTACCCAAGCGTCACATTTCTTTCTTTCTTTCTTTCTTTCTTTCTTTCTTTCTTTCTTTCTTTCTTTCTTTCT